TGCCCGTCAACTTTACAAAGTTTTACATTTTTGCAGTAGAACGAATAATAACAACGCGTTGATCGTACTATAATCCGAAACCTTCTTAGGTTTATTCTACAACCTTCGCCACGCATTTCTTTTTGCGCTTCGTTCAAATTGGATCTCGTAGACGGTTATTGAGACAAATGATGGCAGGGCTAGTCAAAGAAACTGCGAAGCGAATCAGATACAAGATATAAACATAAATTATTCATACTATACACAGTTGCACAACAAAAATATAAGGGACTACTTGGTTGGGGTATTTGGTCTTGGAAGAGATCGTTTTTTTCTTAAAATAATGTATTATGCGATAAGTTTTATAATAATAGCAATAAATAAATAGGTGCCTGAAAAAGTTTAAAAATATGTTTCATACTATACTTTTTCAGCGCCCTTGTAGTTTTGGTTCATTTTCACTGAGTGACATTTGATATTAATTTTTAAATATATATCTAATATTTTAAACTGATATTCAGGTAGGAAGAGCCACGTACAGATGGTAAGAAACTATTTTCAATGAAAATATCTAAGTTTTAGAACACAAATATTTTTTTAAAATCTACAACTGAGTTAGAGAAAGTAACAATTGCGACGAATTAAGTGTGGACGTTTTATTAAATAAATATAGAATTCTTCACAAAAAAACTGGTCCGCCCCGAAGCTAAAAAACGACCTGTGATTTTTAATTATTAGTTCGATTATAATTAATCGTCCTGTGGCGCGCCGTACGGATTAGAAGAAAAATAACTTTCCAATTTTTCTTCATCGTTTTCAAATGTCTTTTGAAAGTGGGGCAGAACTGTAACGAAAATAAATGAGGAAAAACGTCACGAGAACGAAGCAAATTAAAGGGCTTTCCGTCGCAGTCTTTAATTTCGAGATTGTCAGTCGGTCGCTCGAATGAAGGGAAATTATCCTTTTTAATTTTGAGCGTTTTGTTTCGATATTTAAAACGCAATGGGGAACGACTCATCCTCGTGAAATTGTGTCGGAGGCGACTGATTTTTGAATACTAAATAACATTGAGGGGGGAAATTTTAACGCAAAAGTTTTCCAGTGTGATAAATTGAAATGCAAAAATTAGGGAAAATCAAATCTGGGAGAACTTCATTTGTTAAAACTTCACTTGAATAAAAAATCCAAGTCGAATTCACAAGAATTTGATTACATAGAGTCTTAGAAGTACATAATAATCAGAAGTCATTGTAAATCTTAAATCCTGCCCAGAATACGGATTACCTAACAGAAATATAGTTGAGATTCGACGAACATAGTTCAAAAATTTTGCCATAGATTTTATAGAGAAAGAATTCTTCTTTTCTGGAACAAAGGCCAAAACACTCTCAACTTTACATGGTTGGAAAAAATTAATCATCAGCGCAAATCGTATTTTCATTTGTAGTACCACCTGTTGCTCTATTGCGGAACAGTTATGGAGCACCCGGTAGAGAACGCTTTGGTCTCTAACATTAGAAACCTACACAGCCAAACAGTTCAGAAGTTGCTAGGAAAATGAGAATTATGAGAGAGTCATAAAATGTTTAAAATTTGATTCTCAGTTCACTTAAGCATAAAAGAGGCCAATTTAAGTCTACAGCAGAGCCTATAGCACAAAATATTCAAGATCTCGTGTCAGCCACACCATACAGAACCACGTTATAGTTACTTGGAAATTTGCAAATAAAAATGATCAAGCTGAAACATCGAAGATTATTATATATTAACAATCGCTCGGTTTTATTTAATGATTTGATCAAATTTACATTTGGTGTATAATGAAACATACAAAAATTATTTCAAATGTTTTAATGTCTTGACAGAAGAACCCGAATTTGTAATTAATATGCATAAACATGATAATTAATCTTGAAACTTTTAGATTTCGCTATTTAGCTTGATAGGGACCCCCTATAGGCATACTAAATTCAGGACAAAATTCTTAATAATTTAATTGACTGCGCAGATTTACTCCGCAAAATAAATATTATACGAGATAATTATAGAATTTTTGACCTACTTTTCATAATTCAGAACAGTTATTATGATTAATTCTCCATTATATAATGGGTGTTTTTTTTCGATGTATAGAACTTTGGCATTACTGTTCAAAATGGCGACCGATTTAACAACTGTCAAGTGATTTATTCTCAGTTGTTGTGTGGTTTGGCAATTCACCATGAATAGACTCACGCCTGAACAACGCTTGCAAATAGTGCAACAGTGCATTTTACGTACGTACGGTGCGTACAGAAGAAGCTATTGCTGCTGTAGAGCGTGGCATTGAGGAAGACCCGAATGAGTCCATCCGCCATCGAGCACAGGTATTGGATCGGTGTCCATCCACTTTATGGAAGATTTTGCGGAAGGATCTTGGTTTACGTGTTTACAAAATCCAACTTGTGCAAGAATTGAAGCCAAACAATCATCAAGTAAGGCGTAAATTCGTCGAATGGGCCCAAAACAAGATTGCCGTTGCTCCCGATTTTCATAAGCGAATTTTTTTTAGCGATGAAGCGCACTTCCGGTTGAATGGCTACGTCAACAAACAAAACTGCCGCATTTGGAGCGAAGCTAATCCTCAAGTGTATGTCGAAACATCAATCAAGAGAGACTGTGGTTATCTTTCGCTCCAGATATATTAAAATTGTCAATAATACTGTCCCTATTAGATCGAAAGTTGAACCCGAATCTTTTAAATTAACTTTCAGACTCCTTTTAGCAATCGATTTATTGAAATGTTGCCCTAAAACGTATTTTGCCAAATAAACGTACTATTAATATTATTATTAAGTTTGGCAAGCGTTAAATTTCTTTAGCAAAAACAAGTTAATAATGTAGCATATACAGAGAATATCAATTAAAACTACTAACCAAAACTACAAGCGTTAAAAACAAATATGATTTTGCGATTAATTTGAGTGCAAAAATCGAATTTCAATACGCCTTTTCCTTAATATTTCGTAATCGGTTTTCGACAAATTTTCTCACGGCGAGTTTATTGAACATTCCAAATTCGATTGAAATCGAAAATCGCTCCTTAAATTGCCCAACCGCAATATTGAATTGCGTTTTGTTGACTGGCGATCGCGGTTAAAACGATTTAAAAACGGAAAAATATCCCATTTATCGCGGCTATCGCGTGCGTTAACTTGTCCGTGTTGGCGGTGCTATTCCCAGAGGCAATACGTGTTTCAATTCGACTACACAAAATCGGACGGTATGGAAAATCGCCGAGGAAATCGATAGCATTACTCAAATTGTTGATATTGACTTGCAATGCTTCGTGAAAGTTACTTAAACTCATGCAGGATATAATTCAAACTAATATCGTGACTTGATTCAGAAAACCATGAAAATGGAACTTTAAATTTAGATCCTATTGGTTAGTAAAACTTTTTTACAAAGATCTGCCTTTTTATTGCCTTCTTCACCTCGGTGTGCTGCGTATTATATTCGGCCAGTTTTTTCGATATTGTGAAGGTTTCCAGATTTACCAATAAGGCCTTAGCTTGCAGAGCTTCTCTCCCCGAATCCCGGTAACTTGTAACTTGTACAATACAAGCTTATTAAAAGCACCGCAACAAAAAACAGCTGCCCCAGAAGATCATTTGTACCCTAAGATTCAAGGGTGGGAAAAAAGTAAAGAAATAGTTGTTGTTGGAGAGATCTGCCTTAAAAAGCACGAAGAAAAACCTGAATAATATTGTCACAAAAAATATAAAACCTCATAATCCGTTTTTTTATAAAAAAACAACAATTCAGACACTTCCGCTCACAGATGTTATTAATTTTGGGTGGAGAAGACTGGTTGGTTTTTGGGCAAGTAAATAATAAATATCATTGTCTATTATCTTCAAACAAACAACACAATCAAAATTGGGGACGCTGCAGCAGCAGCTTAAGCAACTGGAAAACCTTGCAAATTGAATAAACATTCGTCATTGGTGTTTGCTATAAGGTCACATCAATTAAAAATCGACTGGGTTATCTAAAAACGTTCTTAATATTCTCTATGAAGACGGCTTCCTCAAATTTGCGGCTTTTTCCAGTAAAGTTCTCACGCACCTGCTATCAAATCTCAATGTTTCTTCCTTTCGGGTTGTTCGAGTCGTACATTTAGAAGAAGTTTTGTTTTACTAATATACCACTTACTACAAGTCACTAAAGATATTAGATGGTCAATTGCCTGAGTCCACGGGGAAACTCATCGGAAGAAGGGCAAAATTTAAGGAACCGTCATAATGTAGCAAAAAATCAAAAAACGTTGTTCGCAAATCCATCCAAAATAATCCATCGGGTGGACAATCGAAATATGAAATTAAGTCAAATAAAGAGAAATGTTATTTGCAAGGTCTTTTAGTTTCAACACTGAAACCCAGTCCTCCACATTGAAAGAAATGTAATCGAACAAGTTCTCCCAGTGCATACCCCAGCAACAACTGATGTAAAGGTGACCCTTATGCAGCAGTTTATGTCCGAATATTTGTCTCCGTCCGCCCAGAACGCGGTTTACCGTAAACAGCCTGAAAAATTATAATTAAATCCTGCGAGTAATTTTAAGGTGGAGCACGACTTACCGTAAATGGTGCAACTTATGCGAAACGAAAACGCATGAGAAAAAAAATTAAACGTTGTGTTATCACGACCGAAGTGATTGGCTAATTATAGAGCGTGCTATTTTCAGTTTAATCTACGATCTAGGTACGGCTCGATCGAGGAAACGTGCGCAACAGAAGTTTTGCGATGACCTTTGAGCTTTTGAGTTTGCCACGCCTCAAATTTACCGAACGGTCATTTCAACGATCGATATCCGAAGATTAGTATAAGGGGTTTTATTTTCTGTTTAATTGGCTGGTCACGCGAGAAAACTGAACGTTTGTGCAGTGATTAGGGGAAAAAACCTCAACTTAAGAGAATATTTTATATAGCTACCAGATAATAAAAGAATTTAAGAAGCAACTATGAAATGTTTTTGAGAAGATCCATTCAACATGCGCATGCACGAGACATAAAATCTCGTTTTTGACCAATGACCTTGCGGCATTCAACAACCAACATGTCTGCTGACAGACCGTCAATCAGTTCGAAAGAAAATGGCGCCAAGTGCAGGTTAGTGGGTGAAATTTAGAGGTATGCACGGAAAATCATTGCCTTTTCTACGAAAATATCAATGCCGCCTGAGGCGCATCCATTTTGAAAAACGGTAGAGATCAGTAGAATTAGAGGAAAGTGGAGCAGTACTTTCGTTCCCTTTGAAAACCAATGTTAAAATCTATCTAATGGTGTCAACATAACCAACTAAAGGCCGTCATTGAATTCCCAGAAATGTTCTGGAGAACTCTAGTATTTCCGCAATTTGTCATATCCGATATAGTCTAGTGGCTAGGATACCTGGCTTTCACCCAGGAGGCTCGGGTTTGATTCCCGGTATCGGAATCATTTTTTTTTAAACTATGTTAACTAAGTAATGGATTATATATTTTTAATCCTGCTAGGAAAACTTGAACTTGAAATTAAAATTAAATTTAAAATTATTACAAATGTAAACTGAAACAATTATTATTCAAACAAGACTAAATATATTATAAGATAACAACCTATATAGGTCTGCGGAAGAAATAACAATTTTACAGTAACTTTTCTTATTTTTATTATGGTTTATTATCTTCTTCTAAAACGAGATGTTATGGAGTACTAAAATATTGAAATAATATTGGAGCCTGAATTTAAGAGTCGTAGCTCCATATAAAATGTTTGCTTATTGCGGTTAATTGAATTGTAGGTTAATGTAATAAAAAAAATTGTTCAAGTTCAATATAAAGAAACAGAAAGTCTATAACAAAAATAAAAGAATACCGAAAACGAAGACAAATAATGTATAATCCGAGTTGAGAAAAGAAAGAACATTAAACAAGCAAAATTAATCAACTTATCTTTGGGGCATAGAAGAAGTTTCACATTTTCACCTACAACGCTGCGATTTTTGTCGCCTTGCACAATTGACATATTTACACCTGACGAAATTAAATTTAATAAAAAGAGAATAATCACAAAGCGGTTCAAAAAAGAACCGGAACAACAGTTTCAATAAAAATCGCGTCACGCACCGCAGCGCGGCCATAAATTGAATTTAAAAATAATTAAATGGCCGCCCGTACTCGGTGGCTGTTAAATACCGACGCCATATCAAAGCAACAACACAGAAATAATAATTAATTTAAAACGTTTTAAGAGACCCAAAGCACTTATAATCGTTCGCGGCTTTCATGCATTTTATGAATCCCTCGTTATCCCTCTGACGCGATAAATTTGAAGCCCAACCGCACGAGAAAAGTAACGGCGAAGAAATGAAAAAAACATTTTTTCCCCGATTATTTTTGTTTCAAGTTTTATTAGGCCTGGACTATTTTTTACAAAGCAGAAAAAAGAGTTATCTAGATATTTTTTAAATCAAGATATTTTATAAAAAGAGGAAAATAGAAGAGACACTGTTTTTAGAATATAGGTGATGAACAGGTAAAGTCTGTTCATAGATATAAGAAAGTGACTAACTGATACAGATTAAGGAAAGACCCGGGCAAGCTGTAAGAATGAAATATGGCCGAACAGGTCCGTACTTTGCTTAGAATTTAATTATTTGGGGCTTTGTTAGGAAAGATACTAAACAATGTGTATTTACTTATGTATGTATTTATGTTTAAATGTAAAACCAAAACTATTTTATTAACTACTTAAATTAATTAAAATTATTCACATAATATGTCAGTATCACTATCGCTATCATCGCCTGTTCTATTTATTATTTGTTCTATATTATTTGCAATATGGATATACGATGGTTCGGTGCCACACAACTTCAATGGGATTAAATATACAGTGGTAAGGTGGTAATGGCCTTAAAACTGTATGCCCTAGATTTTTTGCATAATTATCACAGACGTATTCGTTTTGTAGTTTCAAGCTTTGTAGAACCTCAATTAATTGCTTTTTGGTATAATCTTCGTGAAAATAAATGTCGTTGTTATACATGTAGTTTTGGATTGTTGCTTTTGTGTCACATGAGGAAGGGGTTTTAATAAACTGTCTACTGTAATAACTTGCATTGTCTATTACAATTACGCTATTAGGAGGAATGTTTGGAACTAGTTTGTTTTTAAACCAACTTTCAAATAAATCAGCGGTGGTGTCTTCATGCTAATCCAGAGACGAATCTTTAATATTTTTCGCAGACAGAGAAAGTCCATTTGGAATTCAACCATCTTTAGAGCCAGCATGCAAAATAGTTATTCTTTTACCTCATTTTGATGGCGCGTTTGTTTTACACTTGTCAGTTGAGTCAACCCAACCCTTTTCCGGGGTATCATAAGTGTCGAACCAGGTTTCATCCAAGTAAATAATTGGCCTTTGTTGTTCTCTGTAAATCCTAATTTTTTCTAGATATTCCAGTCGCCATTTTTTAATTCTAAAAGATTCCATTAAAACTTGCCTTTTTCAATTTTTTTAAATCTAAAACCCATGTGTTGACACTTCCATAAGGTAGTTCTGCCACATTTAACACCGGTTTCATCTTTTTCAAGCCTCCTTATTAAGATATCTAATGTGGGCACGCTTTGTTCCTCAAAAAACTGGTAAATTTTACGCCGTATTATATCTTGATCACTTTCATCTACACTCGATTAAATGTTAGCATCGCTTCTTTTTTTCCTCGCTGAAATGGCATTATTCACAATTTTCCATACAGTTGATGTTGGAATTTTCGTGAATGTGGCCGTTTCTTCTAAAGATGCTTGCTTGCTGGCACCACGTTCAATGAAAGTTAAATAAACATTGTCTATAACTTCCTTAGTCTCATTAGAATAGTATTTTCTACATTTGGGCGGGAGCATCTCCTGAGATAAACTAGACTCGCACATATTTTGCATAATTCGCACACGCTTCAACGCACGTTGTATTACACACGAAATAAGAATGGATACTAATAAACTTAAACTAAGTAGTATACAAAACCAAATAATATTAAACACAGGTAGGTATAAAATTATTTTCTGTTACGGACCACAATTTTACCTGAATTTAAATTCCGAAACTTTAGGTAATAATCTTGTTGCATTGTATGTTAATGACCACCCTTGGATAATCCCATTTAAAAGCAATTGGTCACTTTCTTATATCTATGAACAGACCATAACTCCAAAACTGGAAAACTGCTTTAGAGCAGTAATTCTAGTTTGAATACTAATGATCGGTAAACAAATTAAACGTCTGAATAATTCTGACTAATTCTAATATTTAATAAAATTTTCCACCTAAGTTCTTTTTACAACATATTCATATTTTATCCCTGAGATTTTAAATTAATGGATTTTAGTTAATACTAACACAAACAGAATAATGGCACAAGTTTATTGATTTAATATATTTTTGTTCATTTTCTAGGTAGAACCGATAAACTCAATAGTATTTAGGTTATTTCGTAAAAAATATCAGAGTTAAGTGCTATAACCAACTTAAGGGATATTCTGTTTTAATGCCAACTATAATCGTAACTACATATAATTGAAAAAATGTATTTTTATTTATATACTATAATTTTGTTCAGCTGTCGTTATGCCCGTCAAAGTTGATCGAAAAACACATAAATAATTTGCTCAAAATTATTACCTAGTATTAGTAAGAATCCTCAGTAACCAGCTATTTGCGATAGAATGAAAAAAAAAACTTTAATGTTAATGTTCATCGCTAGAGGATATAGGTACAACAAAACGTAGAGAATATTATCTTCAAAAATATTGTTAATAATAACAGTTACCAAACCACCTTGCTGCCAAGAGAACAGGATCTTTAAAAAGGTCACACTGAAGGAGTTGGTCAAAAAAAAATGTTTCAAGCCCCATTCTCTTTTTTTTTCTCTTTACCTGCCTTAAATTTCAAATATTTTTTTTTGCTATTTTTAATCATAATAATAAATCCTTTTGTATTTTGTTTCGTGTTTTGTTACAATCAAATCAAATCCAAAAATTACTTTATTGTCAGTACAAGTCCAACAGCATGCCAGGTTTTATACAATAATTGGAGCATGAAAAATAGAGAATTGGCATCTTTATCAAAAAAATAAGTTTGATAAAAATTACTTCACTAATTATCAGATAGATAAAGGAGTAATGACGACACTTTTAAACACGTATTATACTATACTATACTATACTATACTATAATATACTAACCAAAACTGTAGTACTAAATCCATATGTAACGTTTTTTTATGCTCAGAACAAAATTTATAACGTGTTATCGTTATTATTAAACCAGTTTTTCATTATCATACTCAATACTCAAGTGCATAATAAGGTTTATCTAGGAGAACAGTTATTAGTCTTTCCGATAGTTAGCGGTAGTGTATAGCCTTAATTAAATCAACCAAAACAAACATGTCAAAAAGAAAATTCTATTTTGGAAAAAACCAATGATAATAAGTAATCAATAATTACCACAAATTGTTTTTTAATTAAAAAAATAATAAAGAAAACCTACAAATATATTTTAAAAAAATTAAACTGAGGTATCGGGGCGAACGAAACAATAAAGCGAGGAAAAAATGGATAAAAGATCAACTTTTAACGAGACCGCGAGAACGGAGTTTTTTCTGGCCAATTTCAACTTTTCAGTGCCGATTATTCTAGTTCAAGGTCTTCGAAATCGGCTCATTACGGAATACCGGAGGCTCCGAGCCCGGCTCTAATTTAAAACTATGCGATATTTCACGTTGTCCCTCGCCTCGTTAAGGCAATTGACGAAAGAATATTTCGCATTATTCGCTCGGACGTCTCGGCCAATAACAATGGTCGAATATTTGCTGAATTTCGTCGGTTGGCTAATCGTCCCTTTTTAATTAGACTGCGTTAGGGGGGGGGAGGAATGTTTTGGGTGGGTCGTCTTCTCGAAACCCGACCGGCATCTTGGATTATAATCACACACCGAAATCATTTTGGAATTATTACAGGAGTTTTTGTTAACATACTTTGATAGTCCTACGGAAGTACATCAACTCCAACAACTGAATAACACGCACAATGGTTAGGAACCCCAAGTTAGCAATAATAGTGAAATCA